TTGTCACATAGAGGTTGTTGTAGAAACCCTCATTCTTTTGGTACAGTGGGAAATCAGTCATCAAGCGCTCCAAGAGGGACACTCCTGCAAACAGCACAGTGTTTGAACCACTTAATATACATTCCAGCATTATGTAAGTCAAGGCTGGAGTCAGAGCCCTTTAAATTGTCATTAAAAATTAAGTGTGGCTTTGTAAAGACAGTTTGTGTAAAAAAAAAAAAAAAACAAGAATGCTCAAAGAAATTAACATTGAACTGGAATCTTCAACTTTCATAACGATATCTGATTTTTTACAATTGGTGAATCAAAGAAGTTGATTCTTATCTTTGTTCTAGTTGTGAAAACACAAACTAACAAAACTCGCTAAAGCTATTGAATGTTTTTAAAACACAATTTAATATCAGGAAAGATTTGACATTTTACTAAGCTTTAATTGCACTGAAATGGTGTGTGTAGGTTAAAAAGGGTGTTTTAAAAGTTTGAACAGAATGTTTTTTCAGGGCTTAAGAAAATCGTGTTCATACGTTATCAGTTGTTTGCCATATAGGTACTAACAGACTCTATGGGTGTTTTAGGAAGATGAAGCAGTTTTTATTAGGACCTGTATGTCTGCGTAGCAACACATCAACAAACTTTCTCAAATATGGGCATGTTAGCCATTCCTTCAGATTGCTACATTAAAATATGGTGAGGCATCGGCTAATATAAGGATGCTGAACTTATAACAGCAAACCTGCTCAGATTCATCCCTTTTCTGAATATGCAAGATTTGGAAGTGTTGTCAATCAACCTGCATTGAATCTGCAGCACTGATTCAAGGTACACATTCAACAATATTGTGTTAAACATACTGTGGTGATGCCTTAAACAATAGCATAATGTTCATTTGTCAACTAAGTTTGTTTTGAAATGAGAGACAAGTCATGTTAAACTGATGAGCTATGAAACACTGACTTGACTCAAACATACATTGACATTCTCTAAACATAATTGAAGATAACTTGTAATAAAAACCTTTTTAAGCACCTCTATAGTTACAATAACCAAAAATAAATGATCAAATAAATTACCTAAAGAAACCACAGTAAGTAGTAAGAAATATAAACATATATTAGTAAAAAAAAGATTTATTTTATTTCCGTGCAGTTCTGCATTTTGTGCAGATAAACTAATAAATGTAAAACTGCATTAAAATTGTTTTATGTCTAGTATTGTGCAAATCACTGTCACATTTTTTGTTAGCTTTTTTAAATTAGGGAACTTAATTTTTAGTTTATAAAGAGAAATATTTTTGTTTCTACAGTTTGAAAGAGAAATTGTTAACACCAGTTGAGAGCTTTATATAAACAGTGATCAAAATTGTGCACAAAATCTTGTCCATCTCTAGTTCTTACCCATTCCGTATTTCAGTGCAAAAGGAGATCTGAGGATGGGTCCAAGTTGCTTGGGATCTCCAGCTAGAACAAGCTGTCCAGTCTCAGCATCAAGCAATCCTATTAGACATATAAAAACAAAAATGTAAAAATAAATAAATAAAACATAAAGTTCAATTCCATTATAGAGCCCCTGCTGATTATCCTCCTTCACCTGCCAGGGGGACTAAACACTCAGTCTCTACAGCGTGTCCTGCCTCATCCACAAACACATGGGTGAAATGTCCAGAGGGAATGTCACCTGACACAAGCCTGCAATATTTAAATAAATGGGAGCAAATCACAAGCAGAAGTTCATGCATAGTGTCAATCAGTTGTGAGGTTAATAGAAAATAGCAAATAATATGTCACAAAAAGTGTGATGATTTGCAAGTGATTTAGTCATGGATGTTTTTCACTACCTTCCAGCAGTTAAAAGGGTGGTGACTACAATTTTATACTCCATCAGTTTCTCTTTGGGAGGAAAACGGTAAGAATCTCCTTCCAGGTTAGAGCACGCCTGTGAAACATCACAATCCAAACATTTTAGGAAAATTATATCAAAAATATGATGCATTATTATGAAAGCAAAAATAAATAAAAATACACAGAGCAAAGCAAGTGCATTGTGTCAAAAAAAAAAAAAAAAAAGCTGTAGGCTAAGTCAACGTGGATCCATTATAGTAGTGATAAAATTAATGATATAGCAGTTTTTATTGGTTGAAATGCCAATACCTTACATTTTGGATCATCACTTACCTTAAGTTGCTCAGGGACGAGTTTTGGGTCACGGTTTCTTGCGTATATGCGGTAGACATTGCGCGCGTCTACATGCTCTCGAATCTTGGTACACAGCAGATCAGCAGCGCTGTTGGAGGGAGCACAGGCCAGAATGTGGCAGGAAGTCTGGGTCTTCTCTATCTGCTTGATGGCCTCCACAACAGTGACAGTTTTACCTTGAAATACAGAATAACTTTTAACAAGGTTAAAGTACTTTTACTTTTAAAATGTTTACAATAACTATTAGGTACAGGGGATATTTAAGGCAGTTTAGATGACAAATGAAGTTGACATTTAATATAATAGCAGAGGTAAAAAAATATCTAGACTGCCCAAGTTAAAGCCCAAACCTATGTTCAGCTATGTAACTGTGGTAAAATTTCCACATGACTGTTTACAGATGTAGTTCCGCCAATCTGAGATAAGTTATTTTGACTAAACGAGCAAACATTACATATTTAGAGGAGCATTGCTTCTGGAGACATAATTTAAGACTCACAACAGCATAATTTAAAAAGTCATGTCTAAGGGGCTTAATACAAATCTATAGATTACTTTTTATTTTTTTATTTTTACGGTTTTAAAACCGTATCAGCGCTGTATTCTGGGTCTACTTTACCTGTTCCCGGTGGACCAAACACAAGATAGGGAGCAGGTCTGGATGACCCAGCTACAATGTGCTGAACAGCTTGATACTGCTCAGGGTTTTTCTCCAGCTGGTAGTCAAACAGTCTACAGTAAAACAGAAAAGGAAAGGAATTGTGTTGAGGAGACTTCCAGGTTAAGTATAAGAAAAGCAGCCTGACCTCATTCTCAAGGATTGTTTTTCACATCCTGAGCCATAGTTTGTACTAGCAGATGATTCTCACCTCTAGGAGAAAAACATTCTCCCAAGTTTGATATGTGTTTAATTCAACAAGGTCCCTGCTGTTACTGTGGATTTGCTAAATCGGTCTCAGCACTTTGTTTAAACTTTTCTTATTTGCTTATGAGACTTTTTAACCAGCATCAAACTGAGTTTGCTTCTGGTTCTTAACCCACAGACATTAAATATCTTAAGTGTTTGCTATTCTGAAAGCATTTCCTTTTTGTTGCTGGGTTAAACATTGAGATTTTATATTATTTGATTTGCCAAGCACTGCTCTCCATTCATAGCAACTGCAGGCTCCAGAGCTTACATGTGCAAATCATGACACTCCAAGTCTACCCATCCAGTTTAGTGTCTATAAAAAAGGTTCCTTAGTGTCTGATATTATATAGATTAATCATAACCTAGATTTATTATTATTTCAATGCAGTATTGAAAACGTTGAATCTTGAGGCCACAAAAGTAAAATCTTGTGTCTGATGAGAACTACAGTGAGATATATAAATTCTTACTTGAGTTTGGGGAGGTCAGGTTTTCCACATGAGAAAGTGGGTTCAACAGGAAACAACACACTCCTCAGTTTATGGCTCCTTGCAAGTTCTGCAGCTCTGTGCTGGAGATGCACAAGTAGACGATTGATGGTAAACTCAACATTGAACTTTATTCCTTCAATAAAGCTGAAGTCTTTGACATATAGATCTAGAAATCTGTGACAAAAGAAGAGACAAAAATATTTGTAAAAGCTTTGTTTCCAGATGAGGGACTGTGTGCCTTTTGTTGTTACTGCTCTTGCTGTGGTGTCTCAGTCTTACTTTTGGCAAAAGCCCAGTCTGATGCTGTCCAGCTGCACACCATGAACATATCCACGGTATTTCACCCCCTTTTCTCCCTGCGGGTACATAAGCAGCGAATCCCCCCGCAGCACAGAGGGTCGGTTCTCAGAGACACCAGGTACCTGAAGGGTGAATTAAAAGAAAAGACACACTCCACTATATATCTAGATATATTAGGGCTGTCAGTTTTAAAGCGTCATTAATGCGTTAACTGCTTTAGACTATAACGCCGACATTTTTTTTAACGCACGTTAATCTCGCATCAAAACAAACGCACCGTTCGCCTTTGTTCTTAATTTTTCTGCAGCGCTCTCTGTACTGTTTTTTTTACCCTCTGCGCTTTCCATAGCTTCAAGAACGCTAAGTTTGCGGGAGAGTCCGCAGCATAACAGACCCGTGGTTTGAATGGGCAAAAATGGCCAGCAGAAAAGGTATCCTGAATAAAAAGTTTCTTTTTAAAGTTATGCCAGAAGGCTCTCTTGACAAAACCTGAGTCGTCTGTCTATGTTGTCCAGAAGAAACGAGCATCTTACTGGCTTAGTAGCCTGGGTGCCATTCCGAACTTAGTCCCGCCCACAACGTTTAAGGTCAGGAAGTTCGGTCTGGCATTGCTCAGTAGTAGCGCGAGTAAGCTCGCACAATATCTGGCGGGCAAGTGAAATTGTCAGGGCGGGCTTTATACGATGATGGACAGATGATCAACAGTAAAGTAATCAACCACGTTACCAAAGCGCGCTTGGGCGACAACAACAATGGCTGCCGCTGGAGAGTTTAGGTGAGTAGATTCTGCTATTAGGTCTGTTCTAGAAGATATCGACAGCAAATTAATTTTAAAAGAGGAACAGAGAA